TTTATGAAGTGGTTCTTAAAGGGGAAGTGTACACGAATCAATCACATTTATTCTCATGTGAATCAAAGTGAACTATTTTAATTAGTTAATACCAATGTATGAAATGTTATGCCAATATGAGGCCTTTTTTTGCCGAGCTCAACAGACCAGAGTTACCGCCCTTTGATTATGACGTAATTGGTGCCACTTGATTTTAAACTGGTCTCCTGTCTAGTCCCAAATCAAAAGATAATAATACTGAAATTAATCACGTGAAAAAAGTTTGTGAAAATACGAAAGAAGCATAAGAACAGAAAATGTAAGCAGCAGGATAGATTGATCGTTTGTACTTTCATTCATAACATCACCTCAATGAAAATACCACCGACTGAGTTTAGTTTTACGCCGCTTTTAGCAATATTCCAGCAATATCACGGCGGGGGACACCAGAAATGGACTTCACACATTGGGCCCATGTGGGGAATTGAACCCGGGTCTTCGGGGTGATGAGCCAACGCTTTAACCACTAGGCTACCCCGCCGCCCCCAATGAAAATACCAAACATGTTTAACAATGTTGACGTCCATATGACATCACTATCAGGAGGCAACTTTTTCAAAATGGCGTGTTCGCTGACACGAGTACGCCAGAGTTTTCGAAGGAAATTTTTGTTGTTTCAAGCAACGTATATGCGTAAATGCGACGTGTAAGTAGTTTGAAAATTCTGTCAGTCTGCTGGTTGTTATTTTATTTTTGTTTTCATTGTGACCAAGGGAAATAGTCAGAAATTAAGAGAAGTACCATCGTCACATGCGTGAGTTTGCGTCAGTCATGGCGTCACGCTTTCAGAAACTATAATATGTTGTGATGAATCTAGAAAATCATTGGACTACACCAATTATATTTAACTATTGCTTGTTACTATACCTTTCCCATTCATGTTCAAAAAATGAGCAAGTGTATGCAACAAGTAGGCGAACGGATACACAGTGTAAAATCTGAGATTGGTTTTGTTTACATTTCAAACAAGTGGTCCTTTCCCAGCGCGGCATCTGATATAATTCGTTCGATTTCACTGAAACACTTCAAATTGGTGACAAGGTCCACTTGTCAGTTTATTTTGAACTGTATGAGGAATTCAGGGATTCATGTAAGGAAGATTGATTTTACAATTCAATATACAAGATACAATTGATTTTATGGGCGAAACATGACCGACATACATATGATGTGATTTTATAAACACTCTGTAATATGGCCAACGTTTAATTGTGTTTGCGTATTTTCCAAAACATTCTCAGCGATTCTCAGTTCATCAACAATGTTTCAGAACGCGCATTAGTGATTCGATCAAACAACAAGAACAAAACTACCGCTGATCACAATGATACGTCTTTTTCTTTTAAATTCAATTCTTCTAGTAAAATTTAACATTTGAATTTAGACATATACTATATATTACGCAAAACGCAGTGAATGGTGATTTAGTAGATAATGTGTCAAAACTGGTGATATTTACAACGCATTAATGTTCAGTATATTTGATCAACAATGAGCGGATGATATCATAGAAAAACGAATTCCAAACAATTCAAAACTGTAAATTGCACTTATCTTCATGATGTATTGGGATATGGTATCGATAACAAGGTGAAGGTGGAAGAGGAGGGAAACATATCGTACGATTTATGTAGGAATTAAGTAGCAAACTATAGAATGCCGGCACATTCACTGATGGCAAGCTGGTTTAGTGCATATTAGTGTTATATCTTTGTGAAGAAAAATATTGTTGGAAAGCAGTTTAATTGTTATACAATTTGGTAACGTAGTAACAATTTTTCCACAACGTATACCTTTTCTCAAACTACGTCATCACAGTGTGGAATGGGCCACATAGCCAACTGACAACCAGGCAACAGCTGGATGAAAACAGTAGCCTGCCCATTGAGACAAGGACCACACCTATACCTACACCACATGAACTGGGTCTAATAAGTTCTAACAACGTCATTTGTTTATCAGTTGGGCACCAAAGACGTCATTTCCAAGGGACATAAGCCATGGTGTGTTTATTATGGACATAGAACTCTCAGTTAATTTGGAAAATTTGAATCGATATAACACAAAAAATAAATTAGTTACTTCTGATACATGTACTGTTTTGGCTATAAAACTACTTGACAAACACCTTTTATGACAAAAAAGTGCAAGACAAAATGGTTAATTTTTGTGTAAACTTTCCCTTTAACCCCCTGGATGCCACAGGGACATATATGTCCTTCCCCTTCAACCCTCAATTTCAAGACCAATAAAAATTAAAATATCCCACGCACACAAATACACTTCACAGTTTCGAATTCTGCGGGAAATTTCCTGTTTCTTGATACCATCCACTATTATTTTAGACAAAGCTCAAGTGCTGAAAATGACCTTTCAAACTAGGCTTCATAAAAAATGTTGCCATTTTTGACACAGTATGAAATCGCGATTCACAGCGTTATTTGCTGTATGTTTTGAAATGTGAAAATCGGATAATTACTGGGAGTATTGAATTTAAAAAATAACATATTCATGATCACTGATATCAGTTTTACAGGAAATCGCTCATTATAATTCTGAAACGTTGCTGATGAATCTAGAATCGGTTGGGATGTTTTCGAAAATGCACTTACACGAACGCCGTAGAGCGCTTTCCGCCATATTGGATAGTTTTTACAAAATCACGTTTCACGAAGGCCGGTATTGAGACGCCTATTACATCACGTATATTTCATATTCAGCTTCGAAAAATGCATCACTGAATTCCCCACACATTTTAGAATCAAACTGCAACTGGTCTGTGTCACCAATACCAACTGTCTAGATAAAATGAGACGAAACATATTGGGTGTGAAAATGAACGCTGTGCTTGAAAGACTGTGCTTGTCTGAAATGTAAACAAAGACAAATTCCGATTTTACACTGCGTAGCATTTTCTGAAATTTTTCAACATTCATCCGTCTATTCATTGCTTGCAATGGCTCAATACCTTTGGAATATGCATGGAAAGAGTATCGTAGCAAGCAATAGGAAATTATAAATAGATACAATGCAATGATTTGATAATTCATAAGAAATTGTCAAAGTTTCTGTGCGGCATGACCTTGTCCTTGTAGTGATGAGTGATTAATAGGTAATTTTGAAATTATAACAATTAAATTTATTATTCTTCTACTGTATCATACCTGGAAAATATTGTCTAAGAGGTGGACCGAAAATTACATTTTTTACCCAAATTTTCAAGCATGCAATGACAATTTTATGTCTAAATATTGGAATCACTATTATATTTCTGTTGTACAGAAAATAACCTTTCATTTGATGGTCAAGTTGTTTGAATGGGGTCAATAGTTTGAAAATTAATAAAGATATTTGGAAAATTATGATTTTTAGTGTGTTTGACCCAAAATCCGGTTTTACCAGAAAGTGTCCTCACGAATATTTCCACATCATGTCTAATAATATTCTATAGGTCATCAGCTTTAATTTGATATATAGATCATGTATACCTCTCAATTTGATCAAATCACCCCCCCAAAAATGGGTTTGTTTCCTGCCCTAAAATGCATCACTGAATTCCCCCATACATTTTAGAATCAAATTGCAACTGGTCTGTGTCACCAATACCAACATTTCAAAATATGGCTAGTACTCTGGTAATAACGATGCAAAATTCGTCAAAATGCATCTACACAAACAGGAGAATATGGGAATCTAAGAACTAACTTATGTATCGGATAGGGCCATCCAAATCGCTATTACGAGATTTCACATGTAGTACGTTGTCATCTTTTCTTACAAATTGTGAAACTACCAAACTGCATCCGCTCACATTGGGGAACTTTGAATTGGAATAGTTTGGTTCACCATGAACATAAAATAACGAAAATATAGCGTCCGTATACTAAACAAATTCTCTCCAAGTGATCAATTAAATAATAAATAACTCAGGCAATAAAAACTTTCACACTCGTTTTGTACAAGTCGTATGACACACTTACTCAAGTATAATAATTTCTTTATTATCCGTTGTATTCATGTACATTTGTGCAGTAAAACACGGTAAGCAAGTGTGACACCCTCATTATTGATGTCATGTTCAATTTCTTAATGACGTCACGGACGAAATACAGAAAAAATGGTTGCTAGGCGAAAGTGATATGTGCCCATGTGCACATATATGATATATATGACACTGGTTATGTTTCACCATATGGGTAATAAAAATGATTTATCACATAACTTTAACTCAATGTACAAAAACATCAATATAAAGACCAACCTGACCACAATATTTTCTATAAATATTACATATACTTTCAATCAGAAGAACCCTAACAAAAGTAACATTTCCCTTTTTTGTTGCAAGGCAATGAAATAAATCGGCAACCTTTGATCAAATATTCAACTCTTGTCCATGTCACTTTACACAGTTTAAGTCCGAAAGGTGAAGGCTATGAACATAGTGTTTTCAGTCCTGAATCATGTTACCCAGAGATTCAATGCCACAAAACTGGTGCTAAAACTGACTTCAAAACAATGAATTTGAAACCAAAAAAATTACTTGAGTTTCCAAAAGTCACATTTTGGGCTGTCAAATGTACAAATGACATAGCCCTTTGAAAAGAGTATTAGCTTGTACTTTTACCATTCAACACTGTGATGATTTCACATGTGATGACAATAAATAGTCTGGAAAATATTATGCCACAGGCCTAGAATAATTCTTGGAGAAATTATGGAAGCTTTAACAGAATTTTATATTCATACAGTAGATCTATATACTTCCTCATAGATCTAGCCTTTCTGATTATAAAATGAGAGAGAAATCTTAAATATGAATATATATCAGACCATTGATATCAACAAATTAACTCTTCAGAAACAAAGAATACAAAAACTAGTCTAGTCACAAAACAAAAAGCCTGACATTTTAGATGATACTTGATTTCTTAAAGTGTTGACCGTGAAGCGCAACTTACCATGGCTTCTTGGTTGAGACCGATCAAGTATCGCTGCCATCCTGTCCGACATGACGGCAACTAAATTTCAAGGAAGTACCGGCTATGCATGAGAACCTCATGTGTCCCACAACCGTCAATTAAAGCTAGCAGACGCTGTGGCAGTGACTCATTGTTCGGTCTGCTTTCAAGTTAACGCGCCACTCCCACGTACGATATCCTTCCCTAAGTTGCGTTTGCGCGTACCCGACCTGTTCCTGGAAGACGTTCGACATCACATAAACACAATATATGTCGGTGTCTATATATGTGCTTTAACGCTCAGTCTCTTAAAATATATAATTTTGACGAAAACAAATTACTCCCCTTCAGTTGAAACGAACCCCTGTGAGATGGGACGTTCAGAACCCGAGGCAAATCTAGACTTGCTTTAATCAGAATTTTGCATTACAGATACGAATAAGTAAAATCTACTGTGCTGAGGGACGAGTCCCTTTTGACCTCACCTTGACATCAAGCTGATCATAACATCTGGGTATACAACCAGAAATCTATCCAAAATAGGAAAATGTGAGAAGGTGTTCGTGTCAAGTGTCGATAGAATAGTTATCAGAAAGTGACAGTGAAGACCGTCATGATTATCTTTATAGATATTCTTGTTCGATATGGAGTCAACCTCATCCATATAAAAGTCTAATTTCGACCAATTATGCAACATGTTTGATGAAAATTTTGAAGTGTTTTAACATAAGAGGGGTGTTCTTTTAGTTCATATAACTATGTTCAATATATTTTTCCATCTATCTGTTGATCTTTTATCAGGTACAAAGGGCGAACAGATCATATTTATTATTACTATTCCAGTGTAAAAGGTAACACACCATTATACAGTACAACCAGAAATTATTGAGAATTTAAAGATTGTAAAAAAAAATTTCACTCATTACTCACGTATTAAATGTGAATATTAGCAGAACATAACTCCGGATTCAAAGACAGGTGAACAGTTAGTATTTTGTCAAGTCATCATGGGCAGCAATGCAGGCTTCAGTGGGGCGGGTCATACTACTGATCAAAAAAAGTTAGAAATGTAGTGGTCCATGCTGTCCCAATATCGGACCACCTCTTCTTTCAATTCAGCAATATTTGTGAGATTTTTCTTATTGACACTTTCCTTCATAAGTCCCCAAACATTTTCTATTGGATTTAGGTCAGGGCTATAGCTTGGCCAATCTAATAATGTCATATTTTGGGTCCGAAACCAGGCCTGTGAATGCTTTGAACGATGTTTTGGGTCGTTGTCCTGCTGGAAAATCCAAACATTTCCATAGAACACGTGAGCAAATGGAAGTAAATGTCCCTCGAGAATATCTGTGTACTGCTCACTGTTCATATTCCCTTCAAATACACAGAGGGGAGTTGCCCCTAACACAGATATGCCACCCCACTCGTTAAATTTCAGACTGTACTTTGGGCGCTGATACAAAGGTGTTTCAGTTTGTTTGGTCCAGAATTTCAGTGTATTAGGAAACAGCCACACAGAACTTTCATCTGAGAAAAATCACATTGTCCCAGTTAAGATTTCTATGCTGTAAGCACCAGTTCAACCTTCGCTCCTTTTGTTCAGGTTTCATGATCGGTGATGGAATTTCTCGACTTTTTGCCAACCCATTGCATGCAGCTCAGTTCTAATTGTCTCCTTACAGACAGCTACAGTTCCGCTATCAATTATATCCAGCCTTAAGTTTTCTAAACTCCTTCGTTTGTTTTTAGAAACAAGAATACCAAGCCGCCTCCTGTCACAGACAGTCAATTTTCTGGGCCTACCTGCGCCTCCTTGGTGCTCAATGCCATATCCATTTGCAATATTTTTTCAGAAAACCCGATAAACAGTGGACAAAGGGATGCCTGTTCCACTTAAAATCACTTTAGCTGATCTGATGTCCTTGTTATAATACTCTAAAATCAACTTCCTCTTCTCTAAATCATCCATACTGAGGATTACTGAAAATGTCCTCTGCGAGCAAGTAAACAAAGGTGAGGTGAGGTGAATTTGGGTTTTACGTCGTGCTTGAGAATATTTCGCTCATATTACGACGTGCATGCGTGTGTATGTGTATGTGCGGCTGCTTGTACTAGCCCAGACTTAAGCTGGTTTTATAGTGCTAGCCCACTGAGATACCATGCCGCAGTGAAGCATGAATACCCCACTCAAACACATTATACTGACTCCGAGCCGACCTGTCCTTGTACCCGTAAGGCCGAGCGCCAGGTATGGACCAACAAGCACCATATTTTAACGTCTTTTGGTTGACGCGGTCGGGGATCGAACCCGCGACCAAACAAAGGGGGATAACTCTTCACAAACTAATGAAAAAGGATTAACGGAGTTGTCTCTCTTGAATGAAACCAAGCACTTGATGGCTGGTCAAGGTTGTTTATACTAGAAATCCAATTAAACATATTCCTAAAATTCTCAATAATTTCTGGTCATACTATATTTGTGGAATATGCTAAAAATAAAGATCAGGTGGTTTACACAGTATTTTCGAACTTATTTTAAATTAGTTTGTACTTAGACAATGATCATAACCTTATACAAAACTGAGAATAATGCGATAGAAGTACTGCCAAGTCTATTGTATGGCGCTCATAATTATATGGGGCGTTGATTTTGATAGTTATTCAAATCAAGAGGTTGTTTCTGTGGTAGTCTGCAAGTAAACTTTCCCTTTACCCCCTGGATGTCACAGGGACATATATGTGGGTATGTCCTTCCCCTTCAACCCTCAATTTCAAGACCAATAAAACTCAAAATATCCCACGCACACAAATACACTTCACAGTTTCGAATTCTGCGGGAAATTTCCTGTTTCTTGATACCATCCACTATAATTTTAGACAAAGCTCAAGAGCTGAAAATGACCTTTCAAACTTGGCTTCATCGAAAATGTCGCCATTTTTTACACAGTACGAAATCGCGATTCACAGCGTTATTAACTGTATGTTTCGAAATGTGAAAATCGGATAATTACTGGGAGTATTGAATTTAAAAAATAACATATTCATGATCACTGATATCAGTTTTACAGGAAATCGCTAATGATAATTCTGAAACGTTGCCGATGAATCTAGAATCGGTTGGGATGTTTTCGAAAATACACTTACACGAACGCCGTAGAGCCCTTTCCGCCATATTGGATAATTTTTACAAAATCACGTTTCGCGAAGGCCGGTATTGAGACGCCTATTACATCACGTATATTTCATATTCAGCTTAGAAAAATAGGGCAGGACACAAACCTGATATTCCTTCAAAAACCATTTGTTTTTTATATCTGAGAGAGGTATACACAATCTATACATAAAATGAAAGCTTGTGATCTGAGTATTAAGATAAAAATGATGTGGTGAAATTTATGTGGACATTTTCTTGTAAAAACATTTTTATATCAAACCAATAAAGTCTGTAGAGAAACTCTGCCATAAAATGAGTCATGAAGAAAACAGTACTACTAGTACTTCCTGCAGTCTGCTGAGACCACTTCCTGTCCTAGCAGTGTTGACATTTGGAACTTGACAGCTTGTTAGATCTTTTTCCAAAGATTTTCATTCGAAGCATTGACAAGTCTTCAGATTTCTTCAATATCATTGTTGAGGTAAGTTGTTTTCTAATTGTGTACGTTTCCACAGAACCTTATGTTTCAATGATAGAAATTACAGAAGATTACCTGTTGGTTAGTTATGCACTAATCTTGTTTGATGATAAAATTTTGAAATGCATTTCAAATAGGTAATTTGTTATTGTACCTGATATTCTAAGGTATTTTCATGGCATTTTACATGTTTAAAGTCAACTGTTTCATTGACAGATTTCAAGATAACTAACTCTAAAGTTTTAACTGATGAAACTCCTTGAGAGGCCATACTAAGGATGAAAATATTCATCAAATCCTATTCAGAGAATCTTATGCTTTATCTTTCTTTTGTATATTGCGATATGTGAGATGGGGCCCAGCTTAGTGACCTAAACATGTTAGCAATATTTCCCTACAACATAATATACTGAGTCAAAAAAAGAAACTTCACATTCTTTCTTCAGGGCACTATAAAAGAACAAGAGATGGTAAGATGGTTAAATTGTTATTATGTCATTGCTGAGATCTGTCTGATGTACTTGAAAAACTGACAGTGCCATAATCAGTTCCATTAGGCTACACCGCCGTTCCAAAACATGGGTATACAGAATGTCAAGTCACAAGAATAAAAATGCGAAATTTCTCATCGTGTATGGCTGCCCCACGCATTCACCACTGCCAAACACCGTCTCCTCATCGACTGCCTGATGCTTGTGAACACGTGGTTGGGGATTCTGCGCCATTGCTCTTGCAAGGCAGCGCCAAGTTCCTGCAAATTCTGAGGTTGGTTCCTAAGACCACGAAGCCTTCTCCCAAGCGCATCCCAAACGTGCTCTATTGGATTAAGGTCAGGGGACCTCGATGGCCAGTCCATGACGTTCATTCCAGCGTTTTGAAGGAAATTTCGTGTCAACATCGCGGTATGCGGCCGAGCATTATCATGCTGGAACTGTAGACCTGGGCCATGAGCCGCCATGAAAGGAACGAGTTCAGGGGTGAGCACCTGGTCGCGGTAAGCAGCAGCTGTGAGGTTTCCACGGATGACCAGAAGTCGGAACGGTTGTTCCCACAGAAAGCACCCCACACCATGCAACTTCCGCCCTCGAATCTGTCGACTTCCTGTACACAACATTGGGCATACCGTTCACGGCGTCGTCTCCAGACCCTATGCCTGCCGTCCGCGAATCTGAGGGTAAACCTGGATTCATCGCTAAAGACGACTTCGATTCCAGTCTCTCTGGGTCCATCGGAGGTGACGTTGGGCCCACAGCAGACGTTGACGTTGATGAAACGCGGCGTCAATATTGGCCCGCGATATGGACGCCGAGAATGGAGATTGGCAGCCCGCAACCGATTTCGAATGGTCTGTGAGGACAGTCGACCTCTAAACATCTCAGCCCTGGTTCGTGTAGCCGGCAGAAATCTGTCAATGTAGGTGGCGTAGGACGATTTGACGGTCTTCTGCTCGTGGCGCCACACGTGGACGACCGACCTTTGGGCGATCAGAAGTGGTGCCAGTTTGTTGTAGACGACCTCGCCAAGTCATACACAGTACG